GTATATGTATGATCATAGTATACAGAAAAACGTGAAAATAATTGTCCTCTCCCCAAGTACTTAGGAAAATTATGTGTAATTTTTAACAGTCCTAATCGGAAGTCTTGTCTATGACTTAAAAGTTCGTCAGATTACGGAAACAATATCCGGACGCCCTTATTTTCGTTTTCCTCCCAAAATAACCCAAACTAAATAATTAAAAGCGAGGATGACAAATGCGACTATGCATGGTACCTATAGGACACAGAGGCATTATGATTAATTTATTGTGGAAGGAAAAGAAGCGACACACAATATGAGGTCTTCTCATTTAATAGTATAGATACTTTGATTGACTTTAATGTAAAACTTCATTACAAACTTGCTGATCCTTCCAACATCATGTTGTTGTCGTGTTGAAACTAAAATTAAATTTACTTATGAACTGTTTTTTAATGCCGACATAAACGTGTAAAATGTATAGGTGTTGCCAAAATTTTTTAAGATTGTATCTAAAAATGTCAAAAAAGTGTCCCTTTTTTTTGGACAAAAAATCTGTTTCCCATCTTTAACTGGGATTGATCAGACTGTTGATCAGACTATTGGTCATTTTGATCAGTTACTGCATGATTGATGGCCATGGATATATAAATTTTTCCTCGTATATCAGTTGGTTGTTGCTTTGGGTATGCATACAATTTGGAGATGATCTATGTATTGTCTGCAAGTGTTTTTGTCCTCTGCGCGACGCGTTTTTGGGAACCTAAAAATACAGGGCGTCCGTCCGTCCATCCGGTCTTGTTAGCGTTCTCGAGTGTACTTGTCGGATTTTTATGAAATTTGTATCACATGTTTATATTAGCATTCAATGATGTCTCGGACAAAGTTCCAAACAACTATTTTTAAAGGAATTATGCCCCACGGAAAATTGCAATGTAAGCGCTTTCAAGCCTAAATTTTTTGTAGGATTGTTATGCAATATATTGAAGGTTTATATCAGCAATCGGCCTAGGACGAGTTCAAATATCAGCGCTGATCAACTATTTTTACAGGAATTATGTTCCTTTGAATTATAAAATCTATAGAAAATTGCGTTGATAGCGCTTTCGAGTATACAATTCTTGCCAGATATTATCAAATGTTTATCAAAGATTAATATCAACAATGTCTCGGACAAGTTCGAACATCAATTTTGATCAACTTTTTTAAAAAGATTTATGCTCCTTGGAAATATCAATTATATAGAGAATTGTATTGTAAGCATTCTCACAACTACATTTCGAGTAGGATTGTTACGAAAATTTATATCGTAGGTTTTATTTTATATCATCAATATCTTGGGTGAGTTCGGAAATCAGCGCTGATCTATCATTTTTACAGGAGACATGTCTCTTTGAAATGTTATTTATGTTGATTGATTGTTGGTGTATTACGCCACTTTCTGCACTATTGGCTATTTTTTGGCGGTCAGTTTGTATTGGTAGAAGAAGCCAAGGTGCGCGGAAGGATCCATCGACCTTCGGCAGGAAAACTGATAATCACAGTCAACTTGTAGTCGAACACACCTGCCACGTGCACATCCTCAGTGTTGATAGGCTAGTGACACAGTAATTTATATTGAACATTGCATTGTTAGAACCCTCACACCTACATTTCTTGTAAATTTTTTATGAAGCTTTTATCAAAAGCTGATATCAGCAAGGTCTTGGAAGAGAGCCCACAAACTATTTTTACAGGAGTTATGCCCCTTGGAAATATAAATATATGGTCAGTTACATTATTAGCGATCTCATGCAACCGACATCTACTGTATGATATTCCTTAAAAAGTAAAGAGATTTTTTTAGTAATTGCCCCTATTAGGCAGATAAAATATATGCAACGCGAGGGACATTGGTACGTTGTTCTTTTATTTTAGTTTAGTTAGTGAGCCGTTTTAGGTAAATCCTGCTCCGAATAAATCAGTCTTACAGATATATTCTGAGATTGACATGTCCTTGATATAACTGAGATTAGGAAGGGTGGTCAAAAAGTATATAATCTATTTCTGTATTTTCTTGATTTCAACGAGATTTCCAATTGCCAGTTTATTCTTTCTCAAAACGTATGTAAACAGATTTTTATTTAATTTAAATTAAGTAAAGTTAGTTAAGCAAAATCAATTTCTTTGTATCTGAAGATAATAGAAAGAAAGGAGAAATAATGTTTACTGCTAATCCCAACATCCAAAACGTAGCTATATTATTATATCGAATTTAGTTACAATTATTCCAATGAATATATATGGCAATCAAGCGTATGTTAAGTAAATAAACGAAAAAAGTAAATACAATTTTTAACCAGCTACAAAATGTTACTTGTACCCGACAAGCTGGACCAAACCCAGCTGCTACTTTCTATCAATATACAACATTACTATCCAATAAAAATCATGTTTTAGTTAAGAAAGTCCTTCTTCTACTTTTTTGGATAAATTCTATGCAAAATGTATAGAAATTACAATTTTAAGCTATAATCTTAAGGAATTTTTATTTGGTCGTATGTTGAAAATAAGCTTAATCTTGTTAGAACGAAAAAAGTTTACAGATGAAACTATGATTTTAGTAAGGATTGATAGAATGTTTGAAAATAGTACTCGTGTGAAAAAATCTCAGGGAACATTTGCCCGACATCTTTTGGTTGTGAATTGACATTTTTGTTCAGTGACTTGTTTTATGTTCTAAATCGACCTTTCTTTTCATTTTTTCAAGTTTTCCTACTAATGTCTAGATTCTGTCCTGACTGTTATGTTTTGTTATTATTATGATCATACAATGATTTGTCAGGCAACAAATGATCAAATTCGTACGAGATTTTACAAGTTGATACTAATTATTTCTTATTTTTACGTTTAATATATTGTTCTTTCTAAGACACCATGCGCGTAGCTACGTTTACGTCATAACGCCCGGGCGTACACATAAATTTTGAAGAAAAATATATTTGAACCCAAATAAATTATAAGAACTGATTGAAAGCACACGAGCCTTGTATTATTTTCTTCAATGACTTGTAATTGGAGATAAAAGACAAAGTGACGAAATATACTTTTTAATCAAATGGTATCATATGATTTATTAGGTACTTTTAGGTCATATACATGTAGCTCTGTAACTCTTTCGGTTCTTATACATCCTCGGCTTTAAAATATTCGGCTTTGAGCGTTCCTGATGAAGGTAAATCCAGAAAAGCGCTTCAAACTCATGAAATTGATAATGTGTTGTTTTCATATTTTATATTATATATTTTTTTCATTTTCTGTCAAAGTCTCAATCTACTGTGAATTCTACTCAGTTTACTTTTGTTTTAAGCAATTCATTATCTGGTCAGATACGATGTGGCTTGCATTTTTATGTTACAGTTCAATATTTATTTTTACGTTACACCTGCCCATCTATGAAAATTAATTAGAACATAATTATGTCCATTAACAAAATTTGAGTGTAAAAAGGTGAGTAAACTAGATCTATAAGGTCAAAAAAATTAATAGAACGACAACATTGAAATGGAGACTTGCTTTTTGACTATCTCTATATAAAGTTTTGTTTTTTTGTCGATTGATTGTTTATCCCACATCTCCTTTCAAACCAATCTGATTAAAATATATATCTCTGATTTCGTTATACTCATAAGATACGAGCATGCGAATAAATATAGATATAAATTTTAGATTGCTTTTAAACATATTTTTAAGCAACTGTTTTGGGCATTTTTTCTCTTAAATACATTACCGTTATATTCCAAATCAATACAATGAATAAATTTAACTGTAAAAAAACAAATTAGACTCTAAAAGAGACGCGAAAGGGATATTCAAACTCATCAGTTGAAAACAAACTGACAATACCATGGCAAAAAAGAAAAACTATGAAAGGCAAACAACAGTATACAAAACACAACATAGAAACATAAGACTTAACAACACGGACCCCACCAAAACCTGGGGGTGATCTCATGTTCTTCGGAAGGGTAAGCAAATTCTACTCCACGTGTGCAAACCCAGTGATAAGTCTAATTCGGTAGATCACATTAGAGGAAAAGAGGACGGGATTGTGGTAATATCAACAATTGGAACATATCCGTCGTCATTAACCTACTCGTTATGTCGAACGTAAAATTTTCGAAGGGATGATTTCAACTTCACCACTTGGAACTCTTGGTTCAGTAGCTTCCTTGTAAGCATCCACTATCTATCAAGGAAATGATGATAGGAAATGCAAGCTCTGGAATATCTTATCAACTGGCATGTATATACTCCATATGCAGGTGCTGCTGGAATGTTGCTACATAGAAAAGAAAAGTTCACAACTGGAGGCTGAAATCATCTCCTTTGTCGTAAAGTTTTGTTCTTAACCGACCAAGTATGTTGCTATTGATGAGTTTTTAATGACAGATATTGGTATCTTTTTCTCAATAACGCGTGAACATCCGGGGGGTTTCGCCCCCAACCAGGAGGTCTTCTGTTCTGGACCTCAAACCCCTCGATGAGGTTCGGGCGTACGCTTAAAAATGGCCTAGCTACGCCACTGGACACGCGTAAAAGAATAATGAGTAACTATCAAAGCTCAACACGTCACTACAGGTTCCACCTTGAACTTACAGTCAGAAATTCACATGCACCGTGTCTGTTGTTTTCTGTCGCGATATAATGAAGAGTAGTTATAAAGCGCTATTCATGTGGAGTATTAATTATTTTGTAGTATTTCAGCGACGACAAAGCAGAAATTTAAATTTTATTTCAAGAATTAAGTTGTTATGCAATTCTCATTTGGACTCAAGTCAACATAAAAAATAATCAAGTACCAGGCCAAATCTATTAAAACGTATTTTAAAACTCGGTATTTTACGTCATTTGTGTATGGATAGTTTTGACACAGATTTATATGTTTTCAATCATTGCAAATCTTTATTATGAGGCTGATAAGGAGAAACTAAAGGTGTTGTGATTGTTAATATTTAACATAATCAATATTTTTCTTCTAGTTGATGAAAAGAAGAGATTTAATAGCAGCAGTCATGGAAGTTAAAGTTTTCATAGTATTTAGTGTTCTGTTTTGTGAGTATCAGTGTTATATCTATAGGTTTCATAACGAGTGAGAATTGAAAATCGATTGATATCAACTTGAGTTATTAAATTTCAATATGATAATAAACGAGCCTTTGGCGAGTTTATTATCATTATCATTGAAGCTTAATAACGAGAGATGATATCAAGCTATATCAAATCTCGCAAGTTCTTAATCCTATTTCTCTTATGGTAAACATTATGTCTGTCCTGATGAAATATTTTCGATTTCGCAATCTACACTTCAAATGTAACTCTTCTTACAGAATTGAGAAAAAAAATCATCATAGACACCAGGCTATAATTTTGTACAGTAAGACTCATTAGTGACGCTCGAATCAAAACAGTTGGAAAGTCAAATCAAATACCAAGTTGAAGAGCATTAAAAACTAAAAAAAATACAAAAAGTTGTACCAAATGAGACTATTGACTACTGTCAACATCAGACGTTTTAAAGCGTTTTGTACGCTTCAGAATGGAATCAAATTTTAGATGTGAGATATGTGATTGGTTTGTTCATAATATGATAAATCTCAAATCTCGCGGTGACCTTTGAGAGAGTCCTCATTGCCTTATCGAATCATCTTAAATTTATCAACACGTTCTCGTGTTGGCAAGGAGTAAACCATAAAATGCTCTGAAAATAAAATGAAATATTGATGTAAAAATATAGTCATATAGGTTGAAAATAAAACATTTATGAATTGATAAAACGTACTTTTTCGGTTTTCAGAAAAAAAATATAATATTTCTTTATTAGATAAATCGATTTACCCGAAGGGTTAAAAACTTTAGATAAACTTTCATAGTCGTCATTTGACACATATTACAATGTTATTGATGTAATACCACCAAAAATAATAACACCTTATCAAAAAGTCATTAAAAAAAGTACACTATCTTCTACATTGCTGCATTTTGGAGCATAGAATAAAAATGACTCAAGAGTCCCATTTCAAAATAGATAATTGATGACAAAAAAATGATAATTAAAAAATCTCTGTGTGACTAGTGTTTCAGATAAGTCGGATTTGAAATTTACCATCTGAAATATTCCAATTGTCAATAGAAACGCAGTCCATACATGTATTTTCAATTTAATAAAAATTAAAACCGGCAGATATTCTTTGAAGTTGACTAGTCGTTGAAGAATTATTAGGGTAGGCATGCACACATTTCCTGTAACTTTCAGAGCTTCTTGAATTTCAGATTTTACAGTTTTCTAATTCCACGTTTTAAGCAAAAAAAAAAAAATGCCAATTTCCTCCACAATGAACCATTATGGCGAAAGATATCAAAAAGTAGTGCAGATTAACAATTTTTGAGGAAGGCATTAAAAGGATATTTTTGTATTATCTTTCAAAACGACCAAAGGGTGTTTGTGATATGATGGGTTGCGTTTCTATAGGCAGTCAGTAAATGTATTTAGAGACTACTAGCTTCTGCATGCGGCATTGGTATACATGGCAAACGGATTGGAATTTTAATTTACAAATCTACTCCAATTTAAAGCTTTAAAAAATTCTTGTTTGATTCAGAAACTATTTGAATATTCTGCTTTTAATCACACTTAAACAAACCAGTGAAATCTCCATCCATGAACTGAATAAGTACGTTTATATTCAGCGGGGATTTTAGACCGGGTTGAACGAAGTCCAGAACAGACTTGTAGTATGGTGACTAGGGGCGGGTAAATGTAGGCGCATAATTTGTGTAACCAACTCCTCCTACAATTATCAAACCAGATTACTGAAACTTCATAGAAAGATTGCACCTGCATTTATGGAATTGTTGGATGAATATTCTTTATTTTTCCAATTTTGAATCTTAGTCTTTGTCCACAAACATTTAATTTACAAAAGACGGCAATAATTTTCTGTAATCAACTCCTCCTACATCCCGGCCATTTGAGTCTTTTGGTCCATTGTTAGTATCAATATTGTCATCTGATGAAGTCCCGCAGTGAATTAGGTAGACAATTTTCTCTGCTTGCAATAGCTTTCTGTCTGAACCAGTGTCCTTGTTTTCTTACTTCGTTTCTAACTATCAGAATTTTATCGTTATCAGCCGGACAAGCGTCAGAAAGGAGCAGAAATCAATTATCCTTTTGGAGAACCTAATTTGTTTTTAGTTTTATTTGGGTGCATGTTTGCCACTTTTCATCATGAAAGTGCAGAGATATTATAATGGGCATGTCTATCTATAACTGATAATTGCTTGTTCATTTGATTGCACCTTCAGCAGTATCGGGGTTATATGGTAATCATTTTATCCGCCCGCCGTCACTCTTACTACTCAATTATAATATCTTGATATCTGAGGTAAAGGGAAAATAGTAGTATTACCTTTTCCCGGCTTTAGGTTGGCCTTTCGTGTACCCAAGGAAGATGAAGGAAGTCAACTTAGGAGCGCTGTGATATAAGGGTAAAAGATATTTTTTTTTATCTATTTATGAATAACTGCATAGTGTGTATTAACAATATAAATTATAAAACACATTGAAAAAAAATTCTTTAGAATTATTCGAGGAGGCTTACAAATTTTAATAAATTTGGTGTAAAATGACGGTGGGCATGGATAAAATAAACAAGCTCCGTTCGACGATAGTCATGATACCGTTTGACTTCAATTTCTAAAACAGAATAATAAAGTACTAATATCACACATAACTGTTTTGTCCAGGTTTTTATTATGAAAAGTGGTAAATTTAGAAATTGTTAGTATTGTCGCCTATGGGAGAATAAATACTACCGTTTTCCCTGTAAATAAAGGAAAAAAATCCCCAAATAATCCTCAAAATATACTGGTTTTAAAACGAATTATATTTTTTCTATTAGGGTAATCTAATTTGGAAAAAGTCTAAAATATACAAAGGTGACTGTGAATTACAAAATAATTTACATCATGACGTTAAACTAACTAATGCATCATTAACGTACGCTGTATACTTTTAATATTTGCCAGAATAATAAGAGTGATTATCTTGACAATATATACATTGTAAAGTGTTCTTAACGTGAACGAGAATGAAATGATTATCATATGATCAGATCCAATGATACTTTATCATCATGTTTAAACAAATATATAAATATTTTATGGATCTAAAATTACAATTGCATAGACTAAGTAATTATCCTGCTAATTATCTCCAATGAATTGCAACACTTTAAGCTACTATTTTTTATGCATCTTTTCATGTTTTTGCTATTTTTCTATGCATGTAATAGTAGAAGCATTTTAACATGAATATTTCATTAGATATCTTTTTGTCTTCACTAGATTGCAGTTGTATTTATCTTTTGTCATTAAAAATTGCTTTTAGTTTATTAAAACGTGAATGTAAAAAAGGCGGAAGATACCAGGGAACATTAACCAGGGTTATGTCAAAGAACATCTTGTTATTTTTAGTTCATTGGAAGATACCAAGACCTTGTTGATAAATATTCCGTATCAACTTCACAAATAATACATGATGGTATTGAAGTATAGATTCTAGGTACTAACGTTGTTTATCATCTTAATTACGTGTTTTATAGGGTTCTTTTTATTTGTTCTTGTACATTTTTACAACCTTTACTGTTTAGCCCATTTTTGGTAATATTCTTTTGACGTGACTTGGTATTTATACATCCCGCCGTTGTGTTATTGTGCTATGGTCAATTTTGTATTCTTGTCTTTCATTTTTGCTTATGTAATTTGTCTATAGAGTGTTTATATGCCATTTTGTTTTTCTTTGTTGAAATAGTTATTTGTTTTTATAGTGATTAAGATTATAACACAATGTTGACTGCTGTACCCCAATTTTTGATATTCTATGCGACTGTCATACACGTGAGAGGTTTAGCTAGCCCGTTTTAATCCATCATTTTCTACATAAGGAAATACCTTTACCAAGTCAGGAATATGACAGTTGTTTTCCATTCGTTTGGTGTGTTTGAGCTTTTGATTTTGCCATTTTATAAAGGACTTTCCGTTTTGAATTTTCCTTGGAGTTCGGTATTTTTGTAATTTTACTTTTTAAAACATAAAATAAGATGTATTCTTACTTTTCTAAATTACTATGAAAAAAATAAAACTTCGGCTGTCGTGCATAATTATAAACAATAATATTGTTTTCAGTTCATATGTTCACAAATGTAGATCATCACCTGAATTATTTGGCTTGCCTTCCCATTTTTAAACATATTTTTTCTAATTTTGTCTAAACGGAATTAATAAAGTACAAGAATATTGACATTTAAGGCGAATTGAGACTTCGCCATAAATATCGCTTCAATACTCTTACAACGTCATTTGAATGATACAAAATTACTATATACCCAAATGAATTGGTCTGTTGATGTACGCATTTCTACTTACCCTTCCTACATACAATTAAAATCTAATTGAAATTCATAAGGCTGCTGTTGTTTTTGTATTTTGTATTAACTGTCGCTATTATTGTTTTAATAGCACATAAGTATTTACCATTCATATTGCCGAATCTTGTATGGAATTGGAATTTAAAAAAAAATAACAAGTTTTGGTACAACACTTAATTTTTTCGTCTTTAAATGAATACAAGAATAAATAATTTATTTCAATGGAATACCATAAGATCATTACAATCCGGAAGCTTTGTAGAAGAACAGAAATATATTCCAAGAAGATGACAATACGTCATTAAATGATATTGCGACATTCTTTATGTCTTCTCTGATGATAATAAGCAACAAAAACAACTAATCAATTCGAAATAATGTCCGATTTCTACTTGAAATCACTCTTATATGGGAGCATTAATTTGACACAATGCATCTTTTCTGACAGTAACTTGTTAATGAGAAAGTAGATATTTGTAAATTTCACGGAGAACTGCGTCGATTTTTATGTCAGGTAATTAAAATGTCATCGATTTAAATGTAAATAGAATAATGGAATAGAAACAATAACGCTCCACTAACCATGACGAAAAGAGGAAAAATATTTTCTTTCAAATAGCCTACATATGGGTATGCAACTGTTTACTAAGTTATTACTATGTGTACCAATTAATTAATCATAAATTGAAGCTTAGTTTTACTATCTTCTGATCTGGACACTGTCCATATTTTCTGTTTTTTTTTAACAGAAAAAAATATCAAAGATATCAGGCTCATAATATGAAAACAAAACAGCTGAAAGGCTTGAAAAACGTAGTTGAACGGCAATGAAAAAAAATTAAGTCATTATTTTGTCAAATTTCATTTGACTCGGCGGCTGCATATTAAGCTGGAATAAGAAAATGTCCAACGACGTTTTTCGTTGACTCAACGACTGAAAGTGTATTTTATAAGTAGATATAGCAGAAAATGTCTAAAAATGGTAAGATGATAATAACATCTACCAATAGTACAATTATTTGCCTCATTGTTCGTGAGTTCAAATGATGTAGATTCTATAAAATCTTCTCTTTACAGTCGTTTTTCAAGTGGTAGTCATTTTGTCCAAGTTGATATTTCATTTGTCAAATCAATTAATGCGGGTTTTTTACCTGATAATTCAAGAAGTTATTTATAATTTATAAAAACAAAAGTTAGATACACGAAGAGTACACAATGCCTAGATTTGTTTTTTTTTATTAACTACATGCTTGGGTCTGAAAGGAATAAAATGCTACGAAACATTACAAAACGGTAGTCATTTTGTCCAAACGGGCGAAAACGTCGAAAAATCCGAAAAACGCTTATTTCCGACGTTGCATGTGCTAAATTTATTTCAATTAAATGTTCCTGATGATAAAAACAAATCGTGTGGTGAAATTTGGAAAAAAATATTGAAGGCTGTCGAAAAAAGAATAGTGCATATTGACAAAATCGGAACATAGATTCGACACAGATTAAATTTTGATATTTTATAACCATTTTTAGCTTTTAGTGATTTATTGTTGCTAGAGGCAAATGTTTGATTCAGAATGCGAATGATATGTACAACTTTTGCAAAGACAATTTGGAGACACCATCACAGTCCTCTATATGTTAAAGGTGAATTTTTCGTTATGTTGCGGAAGTAACCTGAAATAGATATAGATCATTTAAAGTCGCCCCTTCAGTAAGGTACATTCACCAAATTAAAAGTACAAGTACTCGAAAAGTTTTAGTTCGCGACTTGTCCTGCTACTCATGTTTTAACTGTCGTACGGAAACTAATTCATGTACTAGCAAAGACGGACCTTTTCGTCAAAATAAACTTGTGCATGAAACGGAGGTAACTGAAAGACTAATTGCAAACATCGACGAAAACAGTGTCATTGAAATAATACAACCCGGGATTGTATTACCCGTTTTTACGGACGATCCAGGAGAAGATTTCTAAAAAGTACATCAGACGTTAGAAAACTGAAGCAAGAAACTATAGATGACTGGGGAAATAATTTTGAAGCTGGGGTTCAAATAATTGAAGGGCTGTATTTCGACAAACTGTGTGTCAAGGAAAGTACAATTCATTTCAAATTAATCAAGGGTTAAAAAAAATTATTTACTTCCATAGTGTCGGATATATTTGTATTGGGGTTGAATCAAGATATGGAAAATTTACAATGACATATGATATGCACCATAAAATTTTAGCAGCCTGTGATTAAAGTTTTGTGCTTCTAAAATTATGTTTTAATTAATTTATGGAAAACTGTATATTTAATAATTCCGTCCTATTTTGCCTTTCTACATTATTTACGATTATACAGCATTTTAAGGGGAATTAAGGGTAAAACATTGTTAATCGATTTCTACAACTTGAGGTAATTCATGGTAAAATATATCACAAAAATAACAGAGACAGAACCAACCATTAAAAAAAAAAACGAATGAAACTAACAAATTTAATTAATCGACGTCAAAATTTCAGAAAACACTCTTTGACGTCCCATTTTTGGTGTAACGTCGTGTTGTAGGAACATCGTGCACAACGTTCTTGGGATAAAGACATTCAGTGTTTTGAGCAATTTGAGCAATTTTGTGAAGAATAAATTTACAGACCGCATCAATAATATATCATGTTGGCACCAGACAAAAAAAGGATTTCACAGTACCTGCAACACAACTTCTTGCATGATGCAATTACAGTAAATTTACTCATCTAGATAGATTTACATATAAAAACAAAAGCTGGGCAGTTTCGTCTACAGAATAGACACAACAAATCATCAAAAAAGATTTAGAAATTATGATTTTGAAAAAAAACACCTCAAGTTAATGTGACGCATACGTTACACATTAGTTTATGTACATTGTAATTTATATTTAACAGGTCTACCATTTTCATTTTTTGCGAACTAAATGTACTATTGAAAGGCATTTAAGAATTTAAAATATTTACAAAAAGTCAGAATTTTATACAACCCGCGTCTAGCGTACCGAATTAAAAGCCTGGCCAGTATCTTTGATGAGTTTTTGTTATAGTGATCACGGACTACAAGATACTTCTATCGAAAACATTACGTGAAGTAGACCATAGTACTAAAGGGACATCGATTGAAATTTAAAAAGATTAAGAAATCTTCAATCAGATAATGGTACTTCATAAAAAAATTGTTAAACATGGAATTAAATGATCCTCTGGCGATCGGTTGAATATTGACTTCAATACTACTCATCTTTTTTTCCATATGAAAAAAAAAATTGCAGAGAAATTACTTATTTAAAGAAGAAAAACCTAAATTATAAATAAATATAACCATTCAATAAATATTTCAAGTAGTTTTTAAGAAATTATTCATCATTGGCTTTCATTTTTGCTGTTTCAGCGTTTTTTGATGATATATAATTCAGCTTTTCTGATAAAAGTTGATTCAGGAAAGCGCTTCAGACGCATTTAAATTTATTGATATATATTTTCATTTTATAGCACTGATCCAATAACGCTGCTGGGGAACTGCTAGTCACAGAGAAACTCATCAGCTCAATAGTCAGTGCTTTGGAATTAACATGATTTATTCTCCGTTGATGAGAATTAAAAACTAAGGTCCACTTCCCTTAGACAAAGTCGACCTGAGGTGGATTTGGCTGTTCTTTTAAGGTCCATCTGATTATAAAGCTCCTCATGTATTTAAGTAGATAAACGTTCTTGGTTTTAAAATTTTCTGGTTTGACCCTTCTTGATGAATATTAATCAGGAAAAGCGCCACGGACGCACCAAATTTGTAATTTGACTGTCCCCTGGTATCTTTCACCCCTCTTTTGTAAAGTATTTAATGTTTAGCACTATGTCAATATAACTGTTGGTGGACTGCTACTCTCCGAGAGTATCACCAGCTCAGAAGTCAACGCTTCGCTACTGGCAAGAATTATAACATACCTTTCTTCAAATTCTTCGTTGATAAAGTTTCAAATTATTAAGAAAATAAGGTTTCAACTCATTCAGGCAAACATAATTTGGTTATTAATTTTAGGTCCTTATTGGTCATATAGCTCTTAAAGTATTTAGGTAGTTATACATTGCTTTTGAATTTGGGGTTTTAGCGAGCGTTAATGAAGATAAATTAAGAAAACCACCCCCTGGACTCACCAAATTATTAAAGTGTTATTTTCATATTCTCAATTCATGTCTCACATATAAAAAAGAAGATCCTTTCAAAAAAGCATGCAATGTGCGATTCAAGTACCATAAGTTTCGATGTAACTCACCATATCTTCTAATTTTGATTTCATTTATGCATTGTAAACTATCCAATAATGTTTTTTTTTTAAACAAAACCAGTTTATATTTATATTTTTTCCAGGTGTTGTCAGATTTTTTCCCATGATAGCTGACGCATCTTTTATCGAAAACAATACCAATGAACTATACAACAAAAATTCATATCTCCACCTAGTATTACGTCATAAGAGATCAGTCAATAATACTTCCTCAGATGACGGAAGGAGTGCGATTGAAAAATTCTATGATGATCCAAATAATAAAGCCATGTATTTGGTGTTTCCACTGTTCGTCCTTATAATCAGCACATGTTGTGGTCTTTACTTTTGTGATAGATGTAGGAAGCATTTAAAAAAGAAAAAAGCCGAAGAAAGAAAAAAAGAAAGTGAGCTACTCGAAAATCAAGAACAAGACGAAGAGAACAAAGCTTCAACATCTAACAGTATTGACGGAAATAGCAGTGATTTGAACAAATCAGCGCAGGAAAATGGGGTTGCAAATGGTTCAATCGCATTGGAAATGGCAGGTGAAATAAACCGAAACGATACACCACTAGAAGATGTAGAAAACAGTCCCGAAGTCAAAGCAGTAAACGCCGTTCCTATCAAACACAGGGAAACTAGTTTTATGACAGATGTAAAAAATGCAAATAAGTATGATGTAGAACCGCCATCCAAAAATTCATCTAGCTTGGCATTTACTGATGACGTCAAAACAAATAGCAGTGCTCCAAATGCTGTTGCTGATGACACATTAAATTCGGATACAAATCGTAATACTATTAAACATGATTCGAGAATAGTTAATAATGAAAGTTTGAAAAAAGAACATGTCGCAAAGAAACTAAAAATGAACGAAAGTTCAAAAGACAGTAGGGTCGTTCCTGAATTAAAGACAGAAGTATCAAATAACAATAACTCTGACCAGCAATCTGAAGTAATAAAACCTTTACCAACGACAAGAGAAATACAAGTTAGGAATACACACAGACGAGACAGTTTCAAATCAGCATCAACTGTACAAAGCAATAAAAGTTTAGACAGAAAATCTAACGGTACACGATCTAGTGCTGCATTTCACGAGAAAACAACTTTGCCTGATGTTACGAAAAGTTATTCTAAAATGGACAGAAAATTCACTGCACTGTCCGCTGAAGCTATAGGAGAAATACTGCAATATTATAAAGACAAAAAGCATATGCCAGATATTATTCCAGATGAAGATGAAAATGCAGCTCCTATAAGGAAAAGATTCAAAAAGGCAAAATACAAAGTTTTTAATGGCTAGCACTAAACGTATTCATTGGACAGTTTAAACAAGAAAACTATATTCGTAACAGTATTGCTTCAGCACCTGTGAATGCAACTTCGAGTTGCCATTAATTCTGCATTTCAATAGTTTGTATATAAACTACATAAAATTTAGCAGATGTAGATTAATGATAGTGGCAGTCACATATCAATATGGCGTTCAAAATTGGAAAGAATACATGGTCAGTTCAAAATAAAATGTCCATGCATTCGCCAAAACTGTTATTTTGTACGACATTATTATGTATGCATTAAATAACAATAAATATATTTATATTTTTCAAAATTTAAATCTTCCACTCTAAATATTCTATATTGTTTTACATTTATATTCGTGCATTCTCTACAAATTTGATCAGAATAATCCAATAATACACCGAGAAAAGTCACTGCTACAGAAGTTATCCTTAACAAAGTATGACAATATTGACATCGTATCTTTAAATACGATATGTGATTTTTGCGAAACTAACAAAACCGATAGGATTTTAAATTAAACATTTGCCTTTTTCTGATTGACTACAATCACAATTTTACATTAAAAACACACAGTTTATTTTTTTTTACATCACAGTATTTCAGAACTAATACACGTATGAATAGAGGCAAGAATATTTTTACGATATTCAAAACTTATAAATCCATATCAAGTTTACAAACGCCCAGAAACTCCTGTGGAATGATATGAACTCCAAACTGAGCGTTTCCCAAAGTCGATTGAAATATTTTCTTAGCCCAACATAGATTTGATTTTGTATATTTGTTGTAGATCTAGAAACTACTAGCATCTCAGGAAAAACGGCAAGCTGCCAATAGTGTTTAATTTTAAGATTTCCATTCTAATATCTGATATGAGCAACAGCCCAAATAATGTCTAATATAAAAATGTTGATTTAGTCAAACATCTTTTATGTCTAATGCTGCTGCTTATAGTTGATTTTACCAAAATTGTTAGATCTTATGTAGTCTATTAAATAATAAAATTAACATTTATTTTTGAATCGATTAAAGATTTTTTTCTAATTTTGCAATTATATTGGCCAAACTTGCTCTTTCATATTGACTCCTTGTATTGAACCGATTCTCTAAAATAAACGACCACTTAACATCTAGTAAGTTTAAAACCGTTATGAATGTCATATCATGTCATTGATGTTACAAAAGAGAGGAAAGATACCAAAAGGATATTCAAAAACTCATTAGTCGAAAATTAACTGACAACGCCATGGCATTTATATATCCATTTTTGTTGTTTTGTATTGTTCAATTTTGTAAATTTATGTGTAAACGGGTGTATTTACACAGTAAACATTCTTCTTATTATATACTTATTTGAATTTGAGCATTTAGTTTACTCAGACTCTCTGTTATATTGCAAGCACTTAAAACTAGTATACATTGATGTTGTGCTTTTATTCAATTTATAGGTTACTTCATTTTATAGAAATGCCGGCGTGCGGGTTTTTTAAAACGTTTTCCTTTCTGAAACGTTTACTCATTATTACCATTCGTAAGTCTTGAAGACAGTCTTATCTGTTTAAAATCTATGAAATAGTATAATAATTATAAAAATGATACTGAAAATAATGATGATGATATTAATAAGGATTGCTTAAGTTTCGTGAAAGAATGTTAGATAAATTGTGCAAGTGAATAGTCAGTCCAAACCTTTACCATATCTAGTATGTAATTTTGGTTAGTCGAAAATCCCAATATATTAATGGAAGTATTGGGTCTAAATAAGCTCGGACAGATTATGTCATATAATTATCATACATATATTATCTTTTAAACCTTTTCTGTAGACCACGTAAATGGGTATGGATAGAATATGCAAATAATGTATATTTTTATTAAATTATCTATTATTTTAAATCTGCACTTAATAATAAAAATGGTCAGCAATTATATGGCACATACACACAAAATGCACAAAATATATAGATTACAATATACCAGGAGCAATTGCTGTGATACACTATTATTGTTTTGTTTTCAAAATAAATAAAATAATCGATATGCTTGTTTTTTAGCCAGTTGCGTTCTCGTCGAACTCTGCTTATAGCATTTGAAAAAGGGTTCTTCTGGCTGTTTGTCTGGGCTTCCTTCCAGGGCCAAAATGTCTGTTTGTAGGCATAACCTTTAGGGCTTTACTTAAAACGTTTTTTCGGACCAGGTTTTGGAAAGCTAATCGAAAAAAGAATCCTGTCAATTGTATGGTCATATATCAAAAGTAAAAAACACGGAAACACTCATCATAAGAAAGAAAGATTTTTCAATGGCCATCAAAAATGAACCATTCAAACTTACCTTTACAGAATCTTTGATGTTTAGGTCAGTATGTAAAAATTCAGTATCACAAAGCTACAATAGATTTAAATAAAGTGTTGCATATAGTTTTTCTTTCCACGAATAAAACTTTTACCAATCTTTGGTTGTTGATAATACAATGTCGTGTTTAAAATGGAAAACTCTGTTGACATGAGGCCAAGTTCAAAGGTCGAAGCTATAACATTTCTGTATACTTCAAATTGGATGAATTTCGTGAGTTTTTTTCTTAATCTGCTTGTATAGTCGATTCAATTCACATTATTTCTGTTGTTTAATAACATATCACCAGTAAAATTACAAGATATTTGAAAGGAGATATAAATTATTATGTTCAATGATGTGTGTACTCAGTGCTGACCGATGTTTAATTATTAGAAATGTATAGGTTATACGTAGTTTGTTAGTCTATCATAGTACTAGTACAAGTATACAATTGTAAAAACATGAATCTAGAAAGAGCACTTAGAAATTACGTACAACAAAACTTGCGAGTATATACCGTCAGTCAAATCAAAGTGATCCGAGTTTTTCCTATTGTATTTTATAGTTTTCTGTCACAGTCTAGCCTAATTGGTGACCCCCAAAACTTGGCGCTCATCTATTTAATTTCACGAGTGTGTTCGCTGCTAGATCTCATTTTTGTAATATGATTAATGATACTGTAACTGAAACCCAAAATAAGAGTTTCTAAAAATGATAAAAAATTAAAAAAAACAACTTTTAAATACTTGTGAAATAGAAATAAAAACTCCTTTTAAAAAAAAAATCCCACAACTACGAAACAAAAACTGACGTAATGATAATGCATTCCGTACCTGTATAGAATGGTTCAACTTGTTTACCGTTATGTTCATATTTGTTATGGTTACAAGTAGAATGGTCGTTTATAATAAATGTCATATATTTCAAATTCTACAGATAACTGGGAATCGACAATCAATTCACAACACCCACAATAGTTACATGGCTTCGATTTTAAGCATTATACATTATACATTATATTCATGTTTTTTAGTTTTATTTGCCCTGTGGACAACTAATGTTTTTAGTGGAATCGAAAGCATCTAAAGTCGCTTAAACTAACAAGACATGACACTACAAAGTGCTTGTCTATGAATTGTGTAGTTTACAATATCAGCTGTTTTTGTAATTGAAATATTGTAGAAGATGCAGTTTTCCATCAGCGTTTAACAACATATCTAGTAAAATTGAGAATGGAAATGGGGAATATGTCAAAGAGACAACAACCCGACCAAAGAGCAGATAACAGCCGAAGGCCACCAATGGGTATTGCACGCAGCGAGAAAATCCCGCACCCGGAGGTGGTCCTCAGCTGGCCCCCAAATAAAATTGTGTACTGGTTCAGTGAAAATGGACGTCACACTAAACTCCAAAACATATAAAGGAACTAAAATTAAAAAAAACATACAAGACCAACAAAGGCCAGAGGCTCCTGACTTGGGACAGGCGCAAACATGCGGCGGGGTTAAACATGTTTTGTGAGATCTCAACCCTCCCCCTATACCTCTAGCCAATGTAGAATAAAGAAACACATAGCAATACGCACAGTAAAACTCAGTTAAAAAGAAGTCTGAGTCCGATGTCAGAATAGGTAACAAAAGAAACTAAGCAAAATGACAATAATGCATAAATTAACAAAAGACTACTAGCAGTTACTGACATGCTAGCTCCAGACCTCAATTAAACTGATTGAAAGATTATGTCTTTATCATATGAAAATCAGGTACAATCCCTCCCGTAAGGAGTTTAGTATCATACCATCATAAAATATATGAGAAGAACATAACCCGTATCATGCCAACAACTGGTTTTAGAATAAATGTGTTTATTTCCGATGCAAAGACCCTATGAGTGAATCAATATTAATACCATATTATGCAATCCTTAATGATCTGACAACAGTATCGTAACTATATCCCTTCCGAATAAGTCTGTTTAAAGGTTTGGTTAGCTTTTGAGGTGAATGCCGACATTTTTGTGCTTTGTAAAGAATATTACCATAAAATATTGGATGTGAAATACCTGAATGTATAAGATGTCTGCATGTTGATTTATATTTACGAATAATGTCCTTGTACCGATGATAAAATTTAGTAAAAGTTTTGACTAGTTTGTGATATCGAAAACCCTGGTGTAATAATTTTTCAGTAATACAGAGATTTCTTTCGTTGAAATCAAATACGTTATTACATACACGAGCGAATCGAACAAGTTGAGATATATAAACACCATAAGATGGTGACAAGGGAACGTCACCATCTTAAAATGGATAATTAACAAGAGAAATGAAAAATCATCTCTTTTATCATAAATTTTGGTATTAAGCTTCCCGTTAAAGATATAGATATCAAGATCCAGGAAAGGGCAGGTTCATTTTCTAGAACAAATTTCAAAAGAGTATTAACCAAAATATCAAACTCCAAGGGGAAGTCACTAGTGTCAAGCTATCCAGCAATTCTCATCCTGCAATTCTCTTTATAAAAATCTATCCTGCAATTCGTCATCCTGCAATTGCATTTGGAAAACTACTTGAGCGACAATTTTATTTTTCTTTAAAATCATAGTTTTTGAGTTTTATGTTCGAAAACAAGATTTATATAGAAAATCAAAGATTTTTAAATCCCATTAACAAAATTCTAAATTTAGTTTGCAAATTTCTAACTTATATTTACGGTTTTGTAATTAGCATTTACAATAATATCATGATGACGATTCAAATAAAGTATTATCTGTTAATAAGTCCAGGATGTGATTCGTATAAACCCATGTTTAACCCACATTTGCGTTTTTCGAAACTCATATTAACGACTGAAAATATAGAATTTTGATGTAAAAAAAAAATTTTCATGGTATACCTACAACACAACTTCTATTTGAAACTGGTCACCCACTTATTCAAAACCATTGCCCCGGTAGTTCTGTATGGCTAGGGGTTATAGATTCTGCTCTAATAAGTAGCTTTTGGATAGAACTACAATGAGGGGCCAAAGAATTTCTGGGGTAAGCATTCTTAAAGGCCGAAAATTTCGTCCGTAACACGAAAAAAAAGTCATATTTGATCAAATATGCACTGGGGTCACCCACTTGTTCAAAACCATTGCCCCGGTAGTTCTGTATGGCTAGGGGTTGTAGATTCTGCTCTAATAAGTAGCTTTTTGATAGAACTACAACGAGGGGCCAAAGAATTTCTGGGGTAAGCATTCCTAGAGGACGAAAATTGCGTCCGAAACATGGAAATAAAGCCAAATTCGGTAAAATACGCATTGGGGGCACCCACTTTCCGACCCATTGTCTCGGTAGTTCTTTATGGCTAGGCATTATAGACGCTGCCCTAAAGAATAGCTATTGGATAGTACTACAACGTGAGGGTAAAGAATTTCTGGGGTAAGCATTCTTAAAGGCCGAAAATTTCGTCCGTAACACGAAAAAAAAGTCATATTTGATCAAATATGCACTGGGGTCACCCACTTGTTCAAAACCATTGCCCCGGTAGTTCTGTATGGCTAGGGGTTGTAGATTCTGCTCTAATAAGTAGCTTTTTGATAGAACTACAACGAGGGGCCAAAGAATTTCTGGGGTAAGCATTCCTAGAGGACGAAAATTGCGTCCGAAACATGGAAATAAAGCCAAATTCGGTAAAATACGCATTGGGGGCACCCACTTTCCGACCCATTGTCTCGGTAGTTCTTTATGGCTAGGCATTATAGACGCTGCCCTAAAGAATAGCTATTGGATAGTACTACAACGTGAGGGTAAAGAATTTCTGGGGTAAGCATTCTTAAAGGCCGAAAATTTCGTCCGTAACACGAAAAAAAAGTCATATTTGATCAAATATGCACTGGGGTCACCCACTTGTTCAAAACCATTGCCCCGGTAGTTCTGTATGGCTAGGGGTTGTAGATTCTGCTCTAATAAGTAGCTTTTTGATAGAACTACAACGAGGGGCCAAAGAATTTCTGGGGTAAGCATTCCTAGAGGACGAAAATTGCGTCCGAAACATGGAAATAAAGCCAAATTCGGTAAAATACGCATTGGGGGCACCCACTTTCCGACCCATTGTCTCGGTAGTTCTTTATGGCTAGGCATTATAGACGCTGCCCTAAAGAATAGCTATCGGATAGTACTACAACGTGAGGGTAAAGAATTTCTGGGGTAAGCATTCTTAAAGGCCGAAAATTTCGTCCGTAACACGAAAAAAAAGTCATATTTGATCAAATATGCACTGGGGTCACCCACTTGTTCAAAACCATTGCCCCGGTAGTTCTGTATGGCTAGGGGTTGTAGATTCTGCTCTAATAAGTAGCTTTTTGATAGAACTACAACGAGGGGCCAAAGAATTTCTGGGGTAAGCATTCCTAGAGGACGAAAATTGCGTCCGAAACATGGAAATAAAGCCAAATTCGGTAAAATACGCATTGGGGGCACCCACTTTCCGACCCATTGTCTCGGTAGTTCTTTATGGCTAGGCATTATAGACGCTGCCCTAAAGAATAGCTATCGGATAGTACTACAACGTGAGGGTAAAGAATTTCTGGGGTAAGCATTCTTAAAGGCCGAAAATTTCGTCCGTAACACGAAAAAAAAGTCATATTTGATCAAATATGCACTGGGGTCACCCACTTGTTCAAAACCATTGCCCCGGTAGTTCTGTATGGCTAGGGGTTG